TGGTGGCCCATGCCTGTAACCCTAGCACTTTGGGAGGCCAAGGACTGCTGAGACCAACCTGAGCAAGAGCAAAACCACACATAGACACAGACAAAAGAAAAAATCAGAAAAATTATTTGGGCTGGTGGTACATGCCTGTAGGTCCAGCTACTCAGGAGCCTGGAGGATCACTTGAGCCTAGGAGTTTGAGGTTTGCAGTGAGCTACGATGATATCACTTTACTGTAGCCCAGATGACAGAGCACAGAAGGAGGGAGGGAGGGATGAAGGAAGGAAGGAAACAGAAATAAATTAGTGGGATGGTAAGAAAGAAAAGGGGGCCCAAATCTTTTCACATAAACGTGAAATACCTTTGTCATTTTTTCAGTTAATATTAATTGCATAAGCTCTTACCCAAGGTATTCTAAGAGATTCTAGAATAAATACAAAAAAAAATTTTTTTTGCATTAAAGTAGTTTACAGTTTAGTTAGGAAGATAATACAGACACAGACAAAACATCCTTCATTGATCACAGCCAAGCAGCTGCAAAGTAGGCACTGAGTTTCATACCATCAGTCATATTACACAAAGATGAATGAAAATGAGCCTTGTCCTCCAGGGAGTAACAGTCTGGTAGAGAAGATAGTAAAGATATGCAGGTTTCCAATGAAGAACATCAGAGCTGCCAGAGGAGTGGTACAAATAAAATGCATGTGTTTTCCAAAGAGGGAGAAGTGATTCCTAACTAGGGTATAGGGAAAGATAGTAGAAAGTAGACATTTAAGTAAAATCTTTTAAAGGTCTGGCAGGATTTGAGTACCCGCTGATTTAGGAGGAAAAATGTTCTAAGGGATAAATTAAATGCATGCAAAGACAGAGATTTTGGAAATTAAAGGGAAGGGGAAAGCAGTGAGTATATAAGATTGGTTGGAGATCTCAGGTTATGTGAAGGAGTTTGCTGTTAAGGAAAAGAAAATCAAATCATATGGGTCTCAAAGAGCTTATGTTGTTTACGGGATATAGGAAATAAAAAAAGGTAGAACACAGAGTATCTTAAAGGAGTTCTATAAAGTCAGTGATAATACAGGAAAGGAAAACTTGGTTTATAATTAGACAGCAAGCTTAATTTAGTTAAGCCTTGAAGGGGAGACATGACTCTGACAGGCTGTTCCAGGTTATGTAAAACTCTTTGGCTGGTGCCATACCCTCTAAATCCTGGAAGTTGGCTCCATTTTGGTACCTCTCTAAATATGTTAGCTAAGAAATTATATTGGTCTGAATAAAAGAAAACCTCATGAGCCAAGCCTTTAACAAACATACACAAGTAGACATGATCACATGTTCCCCTAATCCCACAGACATTTTTAGCAGAATATTTTTATTTTTGATATCTTTTGTAACTATAAAATGTAATTAAATGTAGAAAATCTAGTCTTTTCATTCTTATCAATTATTATTGATATAATAGCCTGTAATATGAATGCACTGACTGCTATAATTCTATAGAGAGTCACTGTACCTAGAAACTAGCCAAATGTTCAAGACCACAACAGATCAGTCCAGAGATAATATTGGTCTCTCAAAGAATGGCTTGGGGCTCTACTCTTACAGGCCAAAGGAAACTGCTTATAGACTGACTCCAGACCTTCTCTGGAATGGATGTGTTAAAGAAGACTAAACTAGTTCCTCGAGATTCAAAAAATTGACTGAATATAGTAAGCACCAATACAGACCACTGGTGGGATATTTATCATATCAGGGTAAGGAGGTTTAGGCATATTCATGGATAAATTTATTTTTAGCACAGATCAGTTGAAATTAGAATTTCAATCAAAATGGGTTTGGAAAGATTAGCACTGAACTCAGAAAAATCAGTGAGTTGAACTTTATTGAGCAACCTGATGCAGAAATTAACAACATGAGCTTTAAATGCTAACAGAATTAATATGAACCTTAGCTATGATCTACTGTAACTGTAGGATCCTGACAAACTCATTTAACCCCTCTGAGATTTAGGAAAATAGGAATAATATAACACCTATGAGAGTTAAAAATGAAAATTAATGTATGGAAGATGTTAAATGGTGATGTATTATTAATAAGCAATCACCATTGTACCATTTCATATAAAGATATACTGTTCTTCAGGAGTTAGTGCTTTTTTATTATTTTTTTAATTATAAAAAGATGTTTATTATAGAAAATTTTAAAAATATTGATAAATACTAAGAGTAAATAAGAAATAAGTTTACTTTCAAAAGGAACTTTAGTAACCAGCCCAATTTAAAAAACAGATTAGACTTAGAAAATGAAATATATGCTATATTACTATTTTAGAATTATACAACACTAGTAGTTTCATTTTCAGTTTTCTTCCTCTTATGCCAAGAAAAAGCAAAGAAATGAATGCTTTACATTGTATCATATTTATTCTTTTTAATTCTTTTTTTTTTTTTTTTTTTAAGAGATGAGGTCTCACTTTGCTGCCCACAGTGGTTTCCAACTCCTGGCCTCAAGCAGTTCTACCACCTCTGTCTCCAATGACTGGGATTATAGGTTTAAACCCGGACACTGGGTTATGTTTGTTTTTTAAACTGGCCCATCACTATGAAGTGTATTGCATTCCTCTCACACCCACAGTCTCATCTTCCTTTGAACCTCCATAGCAGGGGATCTAAAGATTTCATGTAACACCTCTCACACTCTGGATGATTGCTATCTATGTTCTTTTCCTATTGCCACTCTTTCCTGCTCCTCCTCTTACTCTATCACCTAGAGCTGGAGCTTTTAACTTGAGGACTCTAAACTTCCTGAAATTATACATAGGATAAGTGTTTCTGTATGCCATATATAAATACATTTTCTGAGCAGGCATCCATAGTTATCAGCAAATTCTAAAAAAAAGGTTTCAGAGATAAAAAAGGCAGGGACTCTAGTCTAGGGAAAAGAATGTGATTTACTTATGCTTGGATCCAATACAGTGCATAGAATATAGCATCCATCTTGTACATGAATAAAATTAAAATTTGTTGATATAAAATTTTATTAATAAATCATTAAATTAATCTCAGGGTTTTTGCTTAATTTAATCTTTCAAATATATTTCCTCCTTGGTGTTCTCATCTGTAAAAAACTACTGTTTCTGAAAGTAGAACTGGTGGTGCAAGGGCAAGGGGAAAGTGGAAGAATAGAGTTATTCTGGGTGAATACAGTTGCAGTTTGGAAAGATGAATGTTCTGGAGATGAATAGTGGTGATGATTGTGCAACAACATGAATGTTATGGATATTTACCACCTCAACAAAAATACTGGGTCTTACTCATTAACTTTCTGCTATAGGACAGACTCTTCATCAGAGAAAATGAATAAAGGTTAAATTTTAGGATATAAAAAAAAGAAAGGGAAGCAAATCTAATCCCAATCTATATACATGTAACAGCAGCAATTACTTCATCTTGAAGCATAATCCCTCTTTCTTTTACAATGCTTAATTATGTGCTTGCTTAAGACTTTCAGGAACCAGTCTTGAACAGTTAACTACAGAACCAAAATTGCAAGACTCTGCCCTGGAGGAAAATGCTGAATAGTTAACCTTCAATTCTGTTGCAGTCTAGCTGATGTCAGGCAGACTGCCAGATGGCCCCTAACTCAAGACTTTGGAATAAGACATGCTGACTTGCACATAGCTGGACCATTTTCACTATAAAACCCTCTGGTCAGCCTACAGGAGCTTAGAATGGTCTATGCAACATTAGTCTGCCATCTCCTCAGGTTGCTAGCTCTTGAATGAACCTGCTCTTCCTTTCCCCCAATTCTTGCCTCAAGGCTGGCTTTTAAGTGATGAGCAGCCAAACCTAAGTTCAGTTACATACACTGCTGGATAGGAATATAAAAACACATTTAAATGAGGTAATTCAACCATAAATCTTGTCCAGAGGTGCTGTTTTTCAAGGTACCAAGTCACTATTCAAGGTGTAAATGATAATTTAGCCCAATTTTATCACTATTTTTTCCATATAAAGAATGTAAGCATTTTTTAAGCCGGCAATAGGCATTTTTAAGGTACCTGAACTTATTTTTTTCAATGAATATTTAGTATAAAATTTAGAAATATGAAAAACAAAAAAGCAAAAGCAAAAATCAGAAGATGGCAATCACAAAAAGGATCAATTATTTTCATACGTCACTTTATACCCTTCTCATACTTCACAGCCTACCTCACCAAAGAAAGTCTCAGACTCCTTTAAAATTATAAATATACTAAAACATCAAAATATCCATATTAATAGGGCTATCTTGATATTTACAAATAACATGTAGATCTTGTCCAAAACTTAGATACTAAATCTTTTGATGATTAAATGTCAATAAATTTTGGATAACCATTAAATGATATGCAAAGACATTTAAAAATTCCATCATTTTCCCAGAAATCCTTTTAATATAGAGATCAGAACTGTTTTTCCAGTGGAATCTAGGAAAATCTTTAGAAGCAGATTCAATATAAAGAGTAACTATTATACTAATATTTAAATTCTATATCATAAAAGATACCTACTACCATATTAAAGTATTATATTAATATCTGATATAACTTAATAAGTTTATTCATCTTTTCACTTTAACACTAAATAATTAGCTGAATATAAACTCTCCTACAGTTGTAATTTACAAAAATGCTTATTTTTCTAAAATTACAGTATTCATTCAATAAATATTTCCTAAGTGCCTGTCATGTATCAGGACTATAAGTACTACACAGCTGTGAATCAAGCAACCATGTTCTACTGTTTTTCTAGAAGATGTATATTACCACCTTTCAATGCTTCTGTAAATATATTCACTCTGATAATATTTTAAAAACTTCAATTTATGCATCTGATCTCCAATGAAAAATATAAATGATCTTTTTAATCATGGAGTTTGCAACAGCAACTCCATGGAGTTAATTTTTCCATATAGCAATGACACGCATGAAAGAAAATAGAAAATAGACATTACCTTAAATTTTTAAGATTTACCTGATATGGGAATATTCTGTGAGACGGATAACTGTACATCTCCAGTTCCTGGTGGCATGTCAAGAACTAGATAATCCAGTTGACCCCAATCTACCTAAAACCCAAGATGACATAAATACATTATTGAATAACAGTTCCAGTGAATTGATGTAAACAAAACTAATGTATTAATAAGAAATTCAAAATAATAGCCTTCACTTTAGCTAGGCAGTAAGTGCCAGGCACTGTGCTGAGGGTGAAGGATACATGGATGAATGACAGTCACTGTCTCTAGCACACTTGCTTTGAATGATAAGTGTAAATGTCCAGGTGACCCATCCCACTATACACAACTTTAATTAATGTTGAACCCATATTACAGTAGGCTTCTATTTAGCACCAGTCATTGATTTTCACTGAGTATAACACACATTTTGCCTTACGAAGGTCATAGCTTTTTGTTATTTGGTTTTTTGGTATAACATTTTCTGTGGTAATAAAACTTTGTAAAGCTTATTATTTTTCCTTCATCAAAATAAAACACACTAATAATGAAAACCAAAACTTAATAAGGAAAAAATTTAAATATAATTAGAGTTCCAATACTATTAACATCTTGATTATTTCTTTCAAGGCATTTTTGAAAAAGTATATATGCCCAGATAATTCAGCTACAAAACCAAGTCCTTAATGCTCAGCCTCTATAACATAGTTAGGTATCAGGGTCTTTTCTCCTCACAGGGTCTTTTCTTCCCTCTGAGTTCCCAGTCTCCATGAGTAGCCTCAGGATCCCCTCAGTTGCCTAACACAGAAACTTAGAATCACACTTAACTTTTCCCTTTCCTTCACTACCCACAGTTATTCTGCCTTCTAAAAACCTCTCCCATACAGACACCTCTCTCTTTTTCCACTGCAGAACCCAAATGAGGCTACTACCAGGTATTAAAGCATTCCAACCAATCTTTCTGTTTTAGTATTTCCCATCCAGTCTGTTTCTAACAACACGAAAAAATAGTCCACCTAAAAATGCAAGTCTGATAGTGCCACTTTTTAGTTTAAAACTCCTCTATTGCTTTTAGGATAAAGTCTGAGCTTAAGCTCCAGAATACTAATCATTCAGAACATTTATTGAGTATCTATCTACTATACACTGGGTATTGAGATAGGTATTGACAATAAAACAACTCCTACTCTCATAGAATTTACAATATGGACACAGATATTAAGGAGATAATCATTCAAATAAATACATAATTATCCATTTCATAACACAAAAAGCACTGTGAAGACAGTAAAATATGCAAAGGAAAGAGCTTATCAGCCACAAGAAACTGTAAGAAGATGGACATGGCTAGAGAACAGTGAGTGAGGAGCAGGGTATCATTCATTTACTATTGTTTTATGACCTTAGTACAGAATGGACATGGAAGAGATGTGTAGTAAGTCTTCTTTCAAGGAATGAATGAACAAATATAAAAGTTTGAGACTTTCAAAAATCTAAGTGGAAACTACACAAATAATACCATATTCTATTTTTTTTAAACTTAATGAGCTGGGCACCATAGCTCAGTGGTTAGCATGGCCACCCCCCACCGGGTTTGAACCTCTCCTAGGCATGATTAACAACAACAACAACCACCAACAGAACAAGAAAGAAAAAGAAAAAGAAAACTTAATAATATACAATATGCCTCTCCATATAATACTACTTTTAAAATTAAAAGTTTGGATAACATTAGGTCAAACAGATTCTTCATATTCAACACATACTTACTAAGAATCAATTAGATACCAGGCATTGTTCCAGGTAAAGGGGATGGAGCAATGAGCAAAATGGCATTTTAGTGAAAGAACCATCCAAAAAGACAGACAAACAAACCAGAAAGTACTAAGTGCTATGAAGAAAACTACAAAGATTCCTAACTATACAAAATTATCTGGCTCCTGATTTGGGCAGACAGATGAAATACAAAGAGATATTTTAAAAATCTCTTCAACTCAAGCATTAAGAGTTCAGACCAAAGAGAATTTATGAAAGAATTTCTTTAGATCTCTTTGGTCCCCAAGATCAAATGGTATAGAATTGAGAGAAAGAACTGAATGATAGAAGGTGCTACTTCAGACAGGGTGGTGAAAGTCCTAAATGAAATGAGAGAACAACTACTGCAGACCTGAATGAAGCAAAGCATTCTAGCTTTCTAAGTGCAAAGCATTCTAGCCACACTAAGCACAAAGGCCCTGAGATGGAGATATGCTTGCTGCATTCAAGGGATAGCTAGAAAGTCAATGTACCCATTCTAAAATAGTACTCCCATAACTATCATTCTCTCTCCTTCCCTGAAATTATTTTTCTTCAAAACATCCCTCAGTATTGGACACTATATATTGATTTGTCTCTTAGGAATCTTATGCTATGCTTTTTCCCAAACACATATATTTGACACCATATAATGACAGATTTTAAGTGAATGACAAAGTGATCAACACAAATTAGTTCATTTTCAATACAGGGTTCTTTGGCTTGCAAAATAGTTACCCCAAGGTTACTCGTGGCGACCATTTATGAAACTATCCCCTCAAAAGATAAAGGATACTTTTCATTTTATGTCCTTGGCACTGAAACTCTTAGCACTGGCAGACTGACAAGTCTCTCTGTTTCAGAGAAATCAAATGACTGGTGCCAACAATTTATCATTGTTTTCCCCTGGCATTTAACCATATTCATCATGTTACCTTCAAATTTTTTATTTCTTTAAAGAGAAATACTACTAAGATCCCAAGGAACTGAAAACTATTTCACTGTTAAGCCAATTCATTTCAAATGATTCTAAAATAGAATTTAAACTCTGAAAAAAACCCTGGGCCCACCATAGTAGGTTTTCCATAAATGCTTGCTGATTGGAATTGAAATGAACAAAAGTCAGTTTCTGAGTTCCAGATATAATACTGTACTAACACTGAAATACACTGGCTGCCAGGAAGTTCCAGGTCTCTTACAAAGCACTGACTTTAGAATGACTGGAGATTCTTTAGATCAGTGGTTCTCAACCTTCCTAATGCTGCGACCCTTTAATGCAGTTCCTCATATTGTGGTGACCCCCACACATTAGGAGCAGTGTCTCGGTTCCTAAGACTATCGGAAATACATGTTTTCGAATGGTCTTAGGTGACCCCTGGGAAAGGGGAAAGGGTCATTCGACCCCCAAAGGAGTCATGACCCACAGGTTGAGAACTGCTGCTCTAGATTCTGCTTAGTGTTTGTCTACTTATATTAATTACGTTTTACTAAATATATATAAGAAATAAATACTAACAAAATACCCAAGAATCTCATTTAGTAAAACCCAACACCAGATCCAGACTTTGCATGGCTTGAAGCACATACAATTTTGAGTGGTCCTCTCTAATTCTGAATGCAAGATTAGGTACAAATGTAAACAATTACTTAGAACATGAAAAGAAATCATAAAATGCTGGAGCCTCAAAGATGCATGTTCCTTTCTCTGAGATCTTCTAAACAACAAAAATGCTTACATAGAAATGTTTCCTGACTCTAACTGGCTTCCTTTCTCCCCCTAGAATATTTTACAGTTTCCAGAATTTCTTGCATAGGGTCCTATGCAAATGTGGAAACTGAGCACATAAGCTCAGCCTCACTGTGACACCATCTCTGGTAAAAACTTCCTAGTTCTCTCTCAGGCTCCAGACTCAAAGGACCCCAGCAGGCAAGAGTTAGTCTGTAAGTGGTGTTACCATAGTATCCAGAGATACCCTGTGACCAGACAGGCAGTGATCCAGGAGAAAATTCATCAAGGTAGCTATGAAGTCAAATATGTACATCATAGCTAAAAGGGATATAAACAGCACAATGGGAGAACCAAAAACAAAACCAGTGCCTAGGACAGTTAAGAAGGTACAGAGTGGGGACAACAGCTCAGACATACCAAATTAATTGCACCCAAGAAGGGGACAGTGGGAACCCAATTTATAGCCAGCCAGTCAGATATACAGATCACAAGCTGAGCTTGCAACCAGCAGCTGAAATAGGGGGCAGTCTTGTGGGACTGACCCCCCAACCTGTGGAATCTGACGCTATTTCCAGGTAAATAGCATCAGAACAGAATCGAATTAGAGAACATTCTCCTGGTGTCTGTTGGAGAATCCGCTGGAAAAAACTGACGTGTCTGGGGAAAAAGCCATGCATACAGCTGATGTCAGAAGTGCTGATTGTGCAAAAGTAGAGAATAAGAGACAATTTTTTCTTCTTTTATATCTCCACAGTCTGATAGACATGTGTGTATCTGTAACTGCTACAACATAACAATTTAGGGGGATTTAAGTTGCTCATTTGTTTATAAAGCTATCAAACACTTGAAGGTATGTCACTAGGAATAATTACTAAATCTCTATTAAATTATTTTCCTTTTCTCTTTTACCAACCTTATCAAATGAAAATAATCCAAACTAGCAGTAGTCATTTTAGGCTAACATGTTATCTCCAAATACTTTAGGCCAGGCGTGATGGCTCATGGCTGTAACCCTAGCACTCTGGGAGGCCAAGGCAGGTGGGTTGCTTGAGCTCAGGAGATAGAGACTAGCCAAAGCAAGACCCCATCTCTACTAAAAACAGAAAAACTAGCCAAGTGTACTAGCACACATCTGTAGTCCCAGCCACTTGGGAGGCTGAGGCAAGAGGATTGCTCAAGCGCAAGAGTTTGAGGTTGCTGTCAGCTATAATGCCACGGTACTCTACCCAGGGCAACAAAGTGAGACTCTGCCCCCAAAACAAAGGAAAAAAAAACAAACCAAAACAAATAATACTTTACATTTTATATTCAAAATATTGTCTAATAATTTGAAAGTGACTCAAGGACTCAAAGGCAATTCCCTCTTTCTGAGAAATGACTGAGAGATAAAACTGTGTATTATTACTTGGGCAGATAAGGTAATTTATCTTTCTCAGGATCTCAGTTATGAAATATATGGTACTAAGGATGGCAGAAGATGAGTTACTTTCTTCCAGGGACACTTTTATTAAGAAACAGACCAAATAGAAGCAATTGGGCCTCACTTTAAATGATGTTTGGATCAAAAGCACAAATAGGCTGAATTTTA